GCCATTTCACATGGCAACGGTCAAAAATTAGCAATGGTATGATACCTGTCGCTAATACTACCAAAAAATTCAAAGTAGCCATTTCACATGGCAACGGTCAAAAATTAGCAATGGTTTGAAAACCGTTGCTAATTTTAGTACTTTTGTGATGATTTTTGTCTAAACAATTGTCTCTAATCATCTGAACAAAAAAAAAAAATACTAATTAGTATTAGCGACGGTTCTCAAAACTATTGATAATATTTCTTTTTTTGTGACATTTTTTTTTCAAAAAAAAAATCGTCACAAATCAACTTGGCAGGTACAAAAAAATTGTACCAAGGATTAGTAATGGTTTCTAAAAACCATCGCTAATCCTTACTTTTTGCGATGGATTGTTTTTTTTTAAAAAAAAATCTGTCTCAACTCTTTAAAAAAAAAATCCAGAACTATAACTATTAGCGACGGTTTTAGAAACCGTTGCTAATGTTTTTGCCATTTTACGAGGGATTTTCAATAACCGTCTCAAAATTCTATCATAAATGATCATTTTAGCGACGGTTTAAAAACCGTCACTAAACTTTTCCAAATTTGTCCATTTTTTCCTTAACGAGTCACTAATTTCTCATCGTTAATTCCTTTTTTCCGATAGTGTTTCTTGCACGCCATGTCATATCATTATTTATTTATTTATTTATTTTGACCTTTTGGTAGTTATGTGAGTAAGTTATAAATTAATCATTCTCGTTTCAAGAAACAAATTAATTAGTCTCTCTCATTTAAAAAAAATATTATTTAATCTTTTAATCGGTATTGATCATGCTTAATTTAATATTATTTTTATTTCATAAAATCTTTTATTTTCTTGTCAATCTTTTCATATTTTTTTCTTTTTTCTATTTCTTAAAAATAAAAAATCAAAATAAATTAAAGAAGATTAAAAATGACTAAATTATAAATAAATTTCAAAACATGAGAATTAAATAATTAATTTTAAAAATAACATGGACAAATTAATTTGTTTGTCAAAATGAGAGAGACCAATTTACAATTTACTCGTAGTTATGTTGGTATTCTTCTTGTTTTAAAAAAATATATTTATATTTTTTTTAAAATTTATAATGTTGTAGTTTTTTAAAATATTAGAGTTTTTGAAATATTGTTAAAAATTCTAATTAAATATTACAGTTAATACATGTTTTAAATTTTGTAAAAAGAAATTTTTTTTTATCATTTTAGATAGATAGAAAGAGACGATATTAATTAATGAAGTTTCTATCCTTATTTAATTTTTCGAGTTTCAAAGCTCCGTGGTCCCTTCCCAAGGACCAAAAAAAAAAAAAAAAAAACCAAAACTCGCGTTTTTTTTCTTATTTATTTATTTTGGTGTGTTGTCCACATTATATTAGAATCGTTACCAATCTTAAAGTAATGCTTATTTTCTTGGACCAATTAACATGAAGTGTGTGTATTGTACAATAACAAATAAAAAAATTCAACCATCTTGATATATATTATAATTCTTTTTAGTGATTGATAGAAAATGTAGTCAATAAAAAAGGATTCAATTCTTTTTTTTTTATACGACTTAATTAGGATAGCTACGGAAAAGCATGAAATAAAAATAAAATAAAAATAAAATAAAAAGCCTCAATACTGGGAAATATTGTTCTTCAAACAATGATAAGATCTCACCATGTCAAAGCGATTGAAACCTGCAACGGGGAAGTGGACAAGATTGGATAGCGATGGTCTGTATTGTTTCTCTTTTTGTATTTGATTCCTTTATTATTTATTTGTTTGTTTTGCTACTTCTTTCAGTTCCCTTCTTTTCATATAATACATAACTTGCTGGAGATGATGATCAATGGCTGTCTTTTATCACGCATTTGTACAATTAATTGCTGAATTCTATACTGATCAAATCTTTTTTTCACTCTATGGATCGACCATTAGAAAAATTAATTAATGAACATCATCTTAATTGAAGCCCTAATTTAGGCAAAAGCTGTACTGTATTTTTTGCCAGCACAACATGATGTTGTGTTAGCACGAGTACTGAATTGCGTTATGATCATCTAAATCTATAGATATCTTGGTTTCCTATAACACTTATCTACACTTTATTATTATTATTATTATTTGATAAAGAAGATTTGAGTTGTTTTATTAAGGATTGAAAAGAGAAAAAAGAATAATTATCCTAACCATCATAAATGGATAATTGCAAATTTTTATCTGCACATATATTTGGTATTCGTCATTAGCCACTCTCCCTTCTATTTATTTATTTATTTATTATTATTATTATTTTCTTCACGTGCGGGAATGTCCTAATTTGGACTTCATTATTAGTTTTTATTAGTATTGTCATTTATGGTCATCTATTGTTAATAGGGAATATATATATATATACATATATATTTTTTTGTTTCAATTCAATAAAAAAATATCGAAGCACATTTCCTTACGGTTGAAGGAAAAACAAATAATTAATTCTAACAATAAATATATGCACACAACTAAATACTGTCTACCATTATATAGTTTCTAGTAACCCTAGTCTTTAGCATGGAGGACCAATTTTGGAATGCTGGTTTAACAAATCCTGACGAGAACATAAGGGATGAGAGTTCTGCTATCCTCGAATCCGAACCTCTGTACAACGATACAACCCAGTTTGATGACAATTATTCAAGTGAATTTGTTGAGCAAAACAAAGATGAGTGCTACCCTATTGGCTACAGGTTCAACCCTTATGATTATGAGCTTATCATATATTACCTGCGAAAGAGGATCATGAACCAGCCATTGCCACCCAATGGTATTCACGAGGTTGAGTTGTACAAATACAACCCTGAGACTCTTATAGGTAGAAATTAAACATCTATTGTTCGTTCATTATGTTATTTCCTTAATTTTCTTTTTCTATGATTCCAATTTTGCTTTTTTGGTTTCTCATGTACATGAAATCATGTGTTCTTTCCAAAGTGTTTTTGGACTAATTAAAAACACCAAGTTGGATATTTTTGTAGCATATACGCTTTGATACTTTCTGAACTAGGTAGAACATCTATCTATTTCAAACAATACATTAATTATAATCGTGGATATATATAACTATATTTAATTAAATTAACCATAAAGAAGAGGGAAAAAGAAAAAAGAAAGTGGTTGACAAAGGAAGCAATGCATGCAATACCTAGTTACTAGTTAACATCATAATTTATAGTTGTGATGTCTTGATCATATAACTATAATTAACAGCAAACTACAAGCCAAACGGAGATCAGAAGGAATGGTACTTCCTTACACCGACAAATAGAAAGTATCCAAATGGGGGGCGACCAAGCCGAGCCACAGGAGATGGATATTGGAAGGCTGCTGGAGTGGGTAAACCTGTTATTTATAACGAACAAACGGTTGGATCCAAGAGGACCTTGGGATTCTACAGAGGGACAGCTCAGGAATGTAACAAAACTCAATGGATCATGCATGAATATAAAGCATGCGATTCTTTTAGAACACCAAAACGGACAAATAATGGCATGAGGGTAAGTTTTCTTTTCTTCTTTTTTTAACTCTCTCTGATTTTGTTTATACTGTGAATTTGTTTTATTTTTCTTTGCAAGCTGTCATTTTCGTAGCAAGTTCCAGCTTTATAACTTAATTTCAGTCTTTTTACAATGTAAGAACAGTACTGTTTCCTAGATAGATCATGTTATACGTTCAGAGTTTGCTTCCATATTCATTTTTCACTAATGCCCAAATTTTCCCTCATAATCTTTGCAGCTTGATGATTGGGTCTTATGTAGGATATATAAAAAGGGTGATAAGAAAAATGGCCAAGTTGGAAGTACTGGACAACAGGATGATGCAGCTCAAGATCAGCCATTGGAAAATAATGGGGCTTTGGCTCCACCTAATGATGCTCAGAACCTCGTTCCTGATCATGTGACTGGAAATTATAATCATGGAAGTGATCAATTTGGTAATCCTGCATACCATCAGAATTCTCAAAATGGGCTGCCACGAGTCTCTCAAGATCATGCGCTTCCTAGCATTCCTCAATGTCTTGATCTTCCACTCGAGCAGACTTCTGCATACTATCAGAATAGTACTGTTTCTCAAGAGATCAATTCTCTTAATATGGATGGCTTGGTTTCATATGAAACATTGAATCAAATGCTTCACTTCCAGAATGATTTCCCCTTGGAGTGCTTTCAACATGAAAATGGTGTTAGTTATCATCCTTAGCCGCCTTCAAAGCATGTGGTAATAGTTAAATACATAGAATTAATTTACGTTGTTTGGGATTTCTCTAATTACAGTATTAATTGTTTTGGTTGAGATAGGTACTGAGATTCTGTAGCCAATAGATCATGTTGAATCCTAATTGGAAGATCTTCTGTTTTCTATCCAGTACCTTTTTTTTTTTTTTCATTTTATTTCATAAATTTCTTGTAATTATCTTTGAACCAAAGGCTCCATAATTACTAGGTTGGTTCTGACTTGATTTTTCTTTTTTGCAGTACTGATGACTTCTGATTTCTTTAAAATAATAAACAATTCATTATTTTGTGATAAAAAATAAACAATTATTTAGTTGTGACATATTATTGCTTTTAGAACTATTGGCTCCGTATTGATGGGCACCATAGACTCCGATGCTGAAGGATGAAATTTTGTATTAAGAAATCTATGTGAGTCTTTGTAGGACTAATGACGTAACTCGACTTTGATATTTTTTAATATGGTCTTTTGGTAATAAAGCAATATATATATATATATATATATACTTTCGTTGCTAATCAATCTCACCATCAAACTTTAATACAAAATATTTTAATTTTAACAATATGCAATTACCAATCACTTCCATATCAAATATAAATAAAACTATAGATAACATATTCCAAGTTAACCTTATGCCCTTAGCTGTATATATAGCAGAAGGGCATAAGGTTTCAAGTTTAAACTCTCCAAACTCACAGCTAATATTCATCGTTTTTATACTTGTTTTATTTTATAGAAAAGTCTATTATGGCCATCCCTACCTTAAGTGCCAACTTATCCATCAAGAGTCCTCCTACCAAAAGAGATCTTTTTGCAAGTATCATCATGGTTTTCCTTACAACAATCAAGTTGACCTCCTATCCATAAATTTAAAACTTCAATTAGTTAAAGAAAAGTCACATCACCATATAAATCATCAACCAAACTTAACGACCTCCTCAATTATTATTCATGGAAAGATATTGGTTTTTTGACAAGAAACAAAGTGCAAAAACACAAAGAATTTATTTTTTTTTCTGTTGTAACATCAATCTTTTATATTTTTGTTGATGCAAAACATCTTTAATTAAATACATAAAAAATTTCAACTAAATATCAAAAAAATTTCAAAATTTTAGGAACATGGAGCACGACTACTAAAGTTTATGAGCATGGAACATGACTAACTGCTCTTGAAGCATGACTTTCAACACTTCTCTTTAGTTATGGAGCTGCTAACTTCAAGCTTCTGTCTCAAGAACTCCTATTTATTTTTAGAAAATGCTTTGGTTAAAATGTTAGCATTCTAATTTTTTATTTTAGAGTATATTAGTCTGTGCCTCTATTTTGTTTTGTAATTCTTTCAAGAAATACATTTTTATTTTGAATTTTTTTTCATGGAACACTTAATTGTCTACAATTGAAATTGCAACTTGGTTATCAACAATTACTTGTGTACTCTCTTTCAAATCCATATGCAAATCTATCATGAGCTTTCTAATCCAAAAGGCTTGATTCACAACTACAACGACTATAACATATTATTTTTTAGTCATGGATGAGGTTATAACTTCCTGCTTCTTAGAGCACCATGAAAAAAAAAAAAAAAAAAAAACCAAAACCAAAGTTAAAGTAATATCGTGAAGTGCTCCTTATGTCGTAAATGTATCCAGCCCAATCACTATCAAAGTATTTATGAAAACAAAATTTTTAACTTGACTGAACCTTATGTCATGGTCAACTAAATTTTTTAATTTTTTTAATGTGGCTCTTTTGGTAATTTTCTTAACAAACGTAATAAGTGACAAAAAAAAATTGATATGTATAATGTCATATCAAATAAAATTGCTACGTGATGAAAAAAATAACTAAAATAACTAAAAAGAAAAAAAAAACCAAATTCAATCTCTATCTCGACAAGCAAATCTCTATTCGACACTAAACCACTTAACCATATAATCATAGACTACCCTCATATCGATTATGATCCCTATAAAGCAAAAAAAAATAAAATATTTTCATTGCTAATCAATCTCACCATCAAATCTTTAATACAAAATATTTTAACTTTAACAATCTACCATTATCGATCACTTGCATCTCAAATATAAATAAATCTATCGATAATAGATTCCAAGTTTTCATTATTTTTTTTAAGGCTAATTGATTTGATAGTACTTTGAACTATCAATAAAAAAAAAAAGAAAAAAAGATCAATATCTAAACTTCAATTTTTTTAATTTGAGTACTAAAATTATTTTTTAGTTTGTAATCTAGTTGAGTAATCCTGTTGACAAACATTTGGAAACACGTGACGGAAACGTGATGGTAAAATGAAAAAAAAAAAGCCAAACCTAAATTAAAATCTAAATTCTTAATTTTTTTTACAATAAAAAAAACTATGACTTTAAAACTATAACACACAATGACAAATATTAAAAGAAACAATTCATCATCATCACATCAACAAAACTAAGATTTTGAAGGATCGATTTTTACAACTTGTCATATTCCTCAAGCTCATCATAATTAACATCCCAAACACATTTAACATACCCACTCCCACAACAATCTCCCGGCTCCGGCTTCTCGAACGAAAGTGACAATGGAGGAGAGGTCTTCTTGTTCAATTCTTCCTCTCCTTATTTTCTCACCACTTTTGATTTAATCTATTTTGTTGTTGTCATTATGGAATTGATAGCAACGTAAAAGAATTTGGGATCTTAAAATCTTGAATTGAAAGTGATTATTTGTTTTTGTTGATACAATTATTGGCTTAAATGGGTTATGGCGAAGATGAAATGGGTCAAACATGTTGTGGATTGTTGGGTATTGTTGACTCTAAGAGAAGATTTGAGAAAGAAGAAAATGATGATGATGGAGGCACTCTCTTCTATATATCTTATAAAGATCTAGAATTCACTCGTCCGTTTGTTTTTCTATCCGTTGATTAAATTGATTAAATTGATTTAGGATTTTTTTTTCAAAATCACGTAAGAGTTATGGCTATTATTAGGTTTGATCGGAGGAAAGGGATGGTTGTGGTTAGTGTTGGGTTTGCTAGGATTAGAGGGATATTCATGAGAGATGTAATTAGAGATATTCACTATTCAATTAAAACTAAACTGAAATATGAATTTTGATATGGCAAATAAAATAATTAATCAAAATTATTTCAATTTTTTATGTTTTTTTTTTTTGAAAAATTAAGTTAAACTAAAAAATCAATTTTAAATCATAAATTGCATCCCAAATTTCCAATTTCTTTTAGCCTTTTACAAATTCACAAAGTAACGAAGTGAGACGTCGACCCCTCCAACAACCCAATAACCCTCTACCGGCCTAGCAACACTCTTTAGGTCACTCAGCCACCTCCTCCTCTTCCTCGGATAGCCTTTAGCCCTTCAGCTGTAACCCTCGTGAAATTTATACATATGTTTAAAAGCAATAATATGAATGGGTTCAAAAGAGACTTTACAATAACGGTATATTCGATAATTACGTCGAAATAACGGGAGGAAAAATTTCAAAACATTTAGGTAATTATCCTTTAGGGTGTTTCTAAATATTTTGGATGTAGGATAATGATAAAAAAATGTATTTTAAAATTTTAGAAAAATTGAGATTTAATTTGGGAAAATTTCGAATTAATTAAAAGAAATTTTTGAAAATTTAGAGCTAGATTCTAGCTGAATCTTGCAAGATTTATTTAGGAACCTTAGGGAACTTTTTGGGTGAACCTTAAAGAATGAAAGTTATTCATCTATGTGTTCACTATCCCTCTATAAAATTTGATAATTTTTGGACCTATACAATTAGAGTTATGTCCATTAGGGTGAGGGTTGTTTCAAAATACATTCTGCTGGAATTTCGGGAGAAGAATTCCGAAAATTCCAAAATAGAAATTCCAATGAAATGAGTTAGCCATATGAAACCAAGTTTGTGAAGGACTCAGTTAGGCTAATGACATGGTTAGGACTAAGTTGGACACCTCGGCCATGCAT